CACAAACACACTCGATACACACACACACACACACACACACACACTCGACACACGCACACACACACACACACACACCCACCCACGCACGCACGCACGCACGCACGCACGCACGCACGCACGCACGCACACACACACACACACACGCACACACAGACACAGACACACGATTGGGGAAGGCACCTTGAACAAGCTGACGAGGCACCACTAGGGTGATGTTTTCGAGGCTTGCCGCTTGTTGGAAGAGTACAACATCTACACCTTCATGGTGGACCGGAGGGCCAACAAGTGACCTGGCTTAGCTCATGCTTCTCAGCGTAGAAGCACTTTCTTTTCACGTGTGTTGTGGAATCAGTAGGCTGCTAGGATCTTCGGGATGTGTCTCACCGGCTTCGAGCATAGACAGTTCGTTAAAGGTGAGATGGGATAAGCATCGGTTCACAGATTCTCTGCTTTGCTTTATGGAGCCCCCTAGGCCCCAGATTCGTGCCGCCATTGAGACGATCTTCGGCGTGAAGGCTGGCAATCCTTTTGCTTGGCAAGGGCAGCGAGACAAGATCACGTGGAACATGCAGCTGATCTCGCGGCAGGTGATCAAATGCAACACCTTGATACCTTTTGCCCGTTACACCGTGGCGCCTGAATGCCTAGACTTTGACCTTCAACAGCCTGCTGGCATCAGTGAACTGCACATATCTTGTGTGCTCTGTTGAAGTACTTTGCCAAGGTTTGGCGTGAAGATTGGCAGAAAGTCTCTCTACAAGAAGGCATATGTTCAGGTCAAGGAGCGATTCTGCAATGTTTTTGCTTTCACGTTCCCTTGTCCACAAAGCCAGGCTATCACATGACCCCCAGATCCTTATCATGGTAGTGGGGCTTAGACGAAATGTGTCGGGTTGGTGGTAGCCACTGTCTTCAAGACATTTCCATTCTTCACGCGTCGCTGTGGAGGAGGGCGACTCGATTGATCTCTTCCCGGATGACCCGGAAGCAGTCTGAGAGGCTGCTTTTCTCACACCCCAGACTGACAGCGCAGTGTCATGAATCAGTGTGACGTAAATGGCAAGAGCGACCGATTTCCGCCAGACTTGTGCCAGATGTCGAAAATCACTGTGCTGCTATGGGTTTGAAGGAAATGTGGATGCCTTGCAGCTGTGGCTCAACGTAGTGAGCAGAGCCAAAGATCAATTGGAGGGGCCTTTCGAGCCTGCAAGCAAGAACAGGTTCACAATGAAAAATGGTGCACATAGTGCAAACAAATTGCACAAAGAACTTGCCCCTTGGACATCGTGCACGTGTGTTTCATGGCGTGGCACGTGGCCATGTTGCCTTTTTGAGGCTCGGCAAAATTGGGCGTCAAGCTGCGAAGATTCAGCTTTTTCGTTTCTCGGTCTCTCTCTCTCTCTCTCTCGCGCTCTCTTTCGCTCTTTCGCTCTCTCGCTCTCCCGCTCTCTCACTCTCTGCCTCTCTCGCTCTCTCGCTCTCTCGCTCTCTCGCTCTCTCGATCTCTCGCTCTCTCGCTCTCTCGCTCTCTCGCTCTCTCGCTCTCTCGCTCTCTCGCGCTCTCGCGCTCTCGCGCTCTCGCTCTCTCGCTCTCTCGCTCTCTCGCGCTCTCGCGCTCTCGCGCTCTTGCTCTCTCTGTCTCTCTGTCTCTCTGTCTCTCTGTCTCTCTGTCTCTCTGTCTCTCTGTCTCTCTGTCTCTCTGTGTCTCTCTCTCTCTGTCTCTCTGTCTCTCTGTGTCTCTCTCTCTCTCTCTCTCTGTAGCTTTCTTACAAGCAGCAGCGAGGTCTTAACTGCGATTCTCTCCCACGTGTTTCGAATTTTAAACCCTGTAGTGTAAATGGGAATCCATGGTACGGAAGTTGCTCAACACAAAGCTAACCAAGAAGTTAAAGATCGGAGGATGCGTAAAGGACCTTCTTGACAAGAGGCTTATGTATCGATGGTTTTTACAAACCGTTTGAAATGTTTGTTCTCACTCCAGTCACCCGAGGCGAGCACCTACGTCTCGGGGGGGCTGGTGGAAGTACTTTGAAGTCTTTAGCACTGCTTCAGGGGATACCGCAATGTGTGTCGTGTCCAGCCTGTGGGGACTTGGCTATTCGTGCCGTGCAGTGGGTGGGCCTGTAATTTCGGGTCCCCACTTTCTGAGCCAGTTTAGCCGAGCCTAGTCTCCGGCTTGCTATCCCTGCTTAGTACCCAATGAGGGATCAGAGGGGGAGGAGCCGTCGATCTGAGAAGTGTTTTTGTTTGCGTTTTTGTTTGCCAAGCGTTCCTCCAACTCCATTCAGCCGGAGCATAGATTTCTAGGGTGGGGCGGGCCAATGGAGACCTGGGTGAAGCAAGGACGCACACACACACACACCCAGGCAGGCAGGCAGGCAGGCAGGCAGGCAGACAGAAGACAGACAGACAGACAGACAGAGAGAGACAGGCAGAGACAGACAGAGACAGACAGAGACAGAGACAGACAGAGACAGACAAAGACACACAGACACCAGACACCAGACACCAGACACCAGACACCAGACACCAGACACCAGACACCAGACACCAGACACCAGACACCAGACACCAGACACATGACACATGACACATGACACATGACACATGACACATGACATATGACACATGACACCAGACACATGACACCAGACACCAGACACCAGACACGAGACACCAGACACCAGACACCAGACACATGACACATGACACATGACACATGACACATGACACCAGACACCAGACACCAGACACCAGACACCAGACACCAGACACCAGACACCAGACACCAGACACCAGACACCAGACACCAGACACCAGACACCAGACACCAGACACCAGACACCAGACACAGACACACACGCACACACACACACAGACACACACACACACACACACACACGCACAACACTGTGATGCATTGCTGATTGTGTGAGGTGCAACCTTTCACCTGCGCCTGTCATGATGATGAGATAAGATTTTTGTACCGCGTATGCCACACCCCGGACCCCGGGTGTGGGCAAGCAGGTACGTTTTCCTGAGGTACAGGGGAGGGAAGGAGCTCCCGCACCCCCTCCGTCCCCCTGCTGACGGTTGAACAACCTGTTTCCACAACACACAGAGACCAGACACACACTCACACACACACACACACACACACACACACACACACACACACACACACACACACACACACACACACACACACACACACACACACACACACACACACACACACACACACACACACACACACACACACACACACACACACACACACACACACACACACACACACACACACACACACACACACACACACACACACACACACACACACACACACACACACACACACACACACACACCACACACACAGCCACACACACCACACACACCCAACACACACCACACACACACACACACACACAACACCACAACACACACACACACACACACACACACACACACACACACACACACACACACACACACACACACACACACACACACACACACACACACACACACACACACACACACACACACACACACACACACACACCACACACACACACACACACACACACACACACACACACACACACACACACACACACACACACACACACACACACACACACACACACACACACCCAGAGGCAGAGGCAGAGGCAGAGGCAGAGGCAGAGGCAGAGGCAGAGGCAGAGGCAGAGGCAGAGGCAGAGGCAGAGGCAGAGGCACAGGCACAGAAGGCACAGGCACAGGCACAGAAGGCACAGGCACAGGCACAGAACGCACAGGCACAGGCACAGAACGCACAGAACGCACAGGCACAGAACGCACAGAACGCACAGAACGCACAGAACGCACAGAACGCACAGAACGCACAGAACGCACAGAACGCACAGAACGCACAGAACGCACAGAACGCACAGAACGCACAGAACGCACAGAACGCACAGAACGCACGGAACGCACGCAACGCACGCAACGCACGCAACGCACGCAACGCACGCAACGCACGCAACGCACGCAATGCAACGCAATGCAACGCAACGCAACGCAAGCTTAACGCAATGCAACGCACCCAACGCACACAACGGCACGGGCTTGGGCGCGGATTTCTTGGGGCCCTGCTTTTCGCCTCGTGGATGTTGTCGAATCGTGCTCTCGCCTAGGCCCCGTGTGCGTTTCGTGGTGTTTCTGGGTGGAAGTCGTCGTGTTCCCCGCGTAGTCGCTAAGCATCCCGAAAACAAGGCAGGCGCGGTGGAATCCTGCATTTTGCGCCGTTGGATGGATGTTGGAGATCGCGCGGCCTCAGTGCAGTGCGCATCCACGTCGCCATCCTCGCAACTGTCGTTGCTTTTGGACGGGTTTGCGAAATGCGGAGAAATGTCGTCGCTTCTGAAGTGTTATTGGGGAGGACCTCCCAAAGGTAGTACACGGAGGGACGTCCTTGGAGCTCCAGCGGCTTCAAAGTCCTTCTTTTTCGTGACCCATGACAAGCTCTTTTAAATGCTCTTCATGTCCTCCATGTGTGGTCCAACTCACTGTTTGGGTTTATGCTGATTCTATGAGGGCACAATCATTTGGCTCTCGTGCCTTCAAAGGCAGCGATTTCGGTTCCGCTTTACTGAGGAGCACTAGCAGGCACCACAATGTGGCGGATCCTGCTTGTTTTCTTGCTCACTCACAAGACCGCCGCTGCTTGTCAAGAAAGTCAAGGAACGCAGTGAGAACGGAAGCTACGCGGGAAGAGCGAGTCTTGCCGACATCAGTAACATTCGAATGCCGCTATCTGAGGCGCAGCCTGCCAACTCCATCGAGGCCCCGCAGGATGAATCTGCTAGAAAAGTCCACACCGTGTCGATGGCGCGTGGTTTTGAAAACCTTTAGATCAGGCGGTGGAGGCGGAAGTCGAGATTTGCTACAACAAGCGCATCAACAACGAGACAGTCTCTCCATTCTGTGGAAAGAAGCTCGGTGACAGACGCAACCTTCCCAGTAGTTATGCAGAAGCATAAGAATCACCTGCTATGCAGCCATGAGACCCGAAATGATCCGAGGAAATGGGCAGTCATAAATGCCGCTAGCGTGCGAGAATTCTGGGAAGTGCATGAGCTCGAGTTCTACTGGGATAGCCAGTGCACGTTGCCTTTCCCCGTGGGCTTGCCAATAGCTTCAGATGTTATGACATCCTTTCCAGGCAACACTGAAGATATGGCTTGGGATGGTGATTTGTTGACGAAGTGGTCGGCAAATTGCAGAGTCTTGCTGGGTGGCTGCAGTCCATACACACAGTGGGTTGGCAAGAACATTGGAGACTCCATTCCGCTGAACAAGGAGCCTGTGGAAATCTTTGCACAAGTGCGCTGCACTCGAATCTTTCAATCCCCCAACGCTACCCGCCAGTCAGACCAAGTTGCGATAATCACCTGGGAAGATGAGAAGCTCGATAGTTGGCAGGTGATTTACGAATATGGTGACCTGGCAGGTGGGGCCTGGCACACCCGGCCCGCACGCGAGGAGTCCTTATGGCGCATCTGGAACATGGACCCCATGCCAAGGCCCTGGCAGGTTGCAGAGGTCATGTTCTTCACGGATCTTTTCTGCGAAGAGGACAAGCAAGCCTTTGGAGCCTCAGCGGCAAGAGTCACAACATTTCATGTAGCAGCTTGCGTCAGGCTTCAGAAAGCAAATCTGCAAATAGCACTTCAGCACAGCATCAATCGATGTTAGCGTTTCAAAGGGTTTCCATGAAGTTCCTGGTCAGTTTCTGAAGCTCTCCATCGACTTGCCGCCAGGAACCCCCATCTCCAATGGGGCCACGTTCTTGGACAATTGCATTGACACGCGAAGCTGCGATCTGTACACAGCAGCGAAGGCGTTCGATGGCATAAAAATGCCTGGCCACCGTCTACCCCGCGTCATGGGAAGCTTAGCTGGACAGTCATCTCTGCATTGTCTGCTTTCAGGTTGCTGCTGTTGCGGGTTTGCTGCTGTTTGCAGGTTGCCGCTGTCGCTGTTGGTGTTGCTGTTGCTGTTGGTGTTGCTGCTGCTGATGTTGTTGCCTTGCAAGTTGCTACTGTTGCTGCTGCTCTTCCTGTTGCTACTCATATGCCTAGGACTGTGCGAAGAGCTGAGGAACATGGATTGCCAATTGCGATGAGTGGCAGGGATGTGCTTCCATGGAGGCCTGGATTGGCCTGGACTTCGACGTGCTTCCTAAGCAGGTCCGATGCATCCGCATCAACCAGCCTGTGCACGAAGGATATGATGCGGGATGGGGTTATCCGCATTTCACTTCGAGGATCTTGTTACAGAGTTGGGACGGCTTCAAGTGGGAGGACCGCACCCTCTTCGGTGGCCTGGACCAAGGAGGATGGAACAACACCATGCCAAAGGAACATACTTCCTGGCGAGTTGCGAACTTTGACCGGATCTTGCTGTCCTGGAGAGTGTATGAGCTGGAGCTTTATGCGGATGCAGATTGTCTGGGCAGCCCAATGCGCGGTGAGAGTGTGGATTCAAACCCAGCTCTTTTGTCAGATGAGCAGCAGGTGGCTTGTTGGACTGATCTCGGGAGCTGTGGGGACAATGCTTTCGATCAGCAAATTACGACCGGTTGGCAATCTTCTTGCTCTCCGTGCGACCAGCGACAGGCATGGATTGGTGTACGCTTCCCTGATGCGCGAACTGTGTCGTGCTTCCGTCTGATACAGAGTGAGGATGTGATGCACCGCACAGATGCCATCGAGCTGTCCGAGTGGATGGGAGATTCCTGGGAGACGCGGAGGTTTGAGTCGGGTGTCGGTGGTGGAACGTGGAACCGGCGGCCTAGCGGCGTCTCAACAATGTGGCGCCTGCTTAGCATTGTGGACACGGACCGTCCTTGGACCATCACTGGCTTAGCATTCTACATGGATGATGTGTGCAATGTTCCACATCATGGAGATCCCATCACGAACGGCAACGAGAAGTTGTTTCGATCAGAGCATGCCTTTGATACGTCTGACGTGACTCAATGGGTTACGAGTTGTACCCCGGCTTTCACGGGACACCAAGGATGCATGGCAAACTCTGCTTGGCTTGGTTTGCAGATGCAGGAGGCCTTCAGTGTCTCTTGTATTCGATTGTACCAGTCCAGAGACAGAAATCACCAAGCGTCCTCGGCTGTGTTGCAAGTCTGGGATGGCCTCGTTTGGACAGTGTCCCAAAACCACCCCATCCTTACCGAGCTTGGGGGTGGAGCCTGGCAGGTTTTGCCCGGGATCCGGGGCTCGATGTGGCGCTTCCTTGCTGACCCATCTCCTGGGGGTCAAGGCGTCGGCGTCTCCGAAATTCACCTCTACAGGAACACGGATTGCACAGATCTCATTCCGATGAAGGTCCCCAACATTGTCCCAATCTGCTCGGGCTACGCCACCTCCAGAGAAGTCGGCGCTAAGACCGGGTACACCAATCACTACTCCAGCATGGGTGAGCTGACAAGTGCAGATCCACTGAAGGCTTTCGATGGTGAGCTGCACACTTTTTGGGCTGACATTGGTGGCGCCCGTGCCTGGTTGGGCTTAGACTTCTCCACGCAGGTTTCAGATGTTCAGTGTGTCAGGCTGGCATTTCCCGGCATTCGAGCCCTGCAGCCGAGCTATGGGGAGCTGCAGGGCTGGAGTGGCAGCACCTGGAGATCTACGGCTTCCGGCTCAACATCTATATTCAGCATGGACTCCACCCTCCTGCTTCCCTTGTCATTGCCTTAGAGATGCTGTGCGCAGGGCCTGTTCAGGGCCGGCTCAGCTATGCGATTTATGATGATTTATGTCACTATTTCGCTATGTGGCTAGGGCTGGCTGCTCACGTTTCAACTGGGCTCAAGTAACAAGCTCTCTGTTGTTGCCATCAGTCGTAGGATATTAAGCCTTATTAAGCGATTAAGCACTGAGGCCATCCTTGGGTGGCCAGGGCTTCCAAAGGAGGCCAGCCCCTGTGAACTCACTTTGGAGGCTTCAGAACATGGCATCGATCCAGACCTGGGTAGTCTTCGAGCTCGGGCTCTACACCGACCTTGCTTGCCGAGGAGATCCCATCACCGGGATGGCCATTTCCTCGGCCGAGGATGCAGCACTGTCGGACGGGTTCAGTGGGCACATGAATCCACACAAGGCGTTTGACAACGACAATACATCGTATTGGCAAGCTCACTGCGTAAACGGTGTGTGTACAGCAGGGCAAGCCTGGATTGGCCTGGACCTGCAAGGCAAGGTGCAGCAGGTGCAGTGCCTTCGCCTCATGCAAAGCGGTCTTCGCCTTGAGCAAGTGGCGAGTGTGGTACTGGCATCGTGGAACGGGAATGCCTTCCAGGAACGTGCCCAGTACCATGGATTAGGCGCAGCAAGTATGGAAAGCGTCATAGCACGAGTCTGATAGCTAAACGGCTAGTTGCTTTGCCTGATCGTAAGAGATCAAGGGAAGGCTGCTCATGGGGTCTGTCTTGTTAGGCTGCATGGTTTCTCGGCAGGTGGCGACACTTGGAACACACGGCCACTGCCGCCGGACACCATGTGGCGAGTGGCCTACGGTCAGCGGAGTGGTGTGGTTTGCTTGGGTGCCGAGGAGCGAGGCTGGCCCAGGTCTTGGGGAGTCACAGAGGTGGAGTTCTACGCAGACGATAGCTGCCAAGTAAAACTTCCCGGGCCCAAGGAAGGTGTTGATGTGGTTGCATCGGGTACCAGGGAAGCGGGGATCGCACCTTTGTCGGGCACGGGCCCACATTTGGCCTTCGATGGCTTGGCATCAACAACCTGGACAGCACAGTGCGGCGCCGGAGATCGAGCCAACGAGCCTGCCGACTGCAGGACAGGTGTCGAATGGGTCGGTCTGGATTTCAACCGAAAGTTTGACGGCTTGCCCGTGATGGTCAGGTGTCTAAAGCTGATCCAGTCTCGTAGCTCCGCTTCCGACTGCTGTGATCCAGCTGAAACAGTGATGCTGGATCGCTGGAATGGTACAGATTGGGCCAGGGCAAGCTGGCGCCATGTGTCGGACACTGGGGAAGTTTTCCAGGTCGAGGCTGCCTTCTCCAGTGTTGCTCCATGCCCTAGCCTCAATCAAGAACAAATCCAATTAGCTTTGAATGGACAGCTGCCGAATAGCATCAGCAATCGGCCTTCGATTCAGTGGCGGAAGCGGCGCCAAGGAGATGAATCCTGGCAGTAGTCAGTAGTCAGATGTAGTCAGGAACTTTGTTGTTTGCTGAGCGATTGCTTGGACATCTTCTGAAGTTAGAGAGACTTCACGAGCAGTGTAGCAAGATGTAAGAAGGGGCCATTTCACAGTAAGTGCAGATCCATGCTTCGACCCTCTCCGGCCAAAGAAGAGCCCCTCCCTCCCCCGCGTTCAACATGCTTACATCCAGAACGCCGCTTTACAACCAGAACGCCCACTTCAAGGAACGCCCACTTTACTATCGCCCAAGGATGTTATCGAACAGCTTGTAGGTGTCTTAAATTAGCCGCTAACTAGCCACTTTCCCCAACTTGTCTGGCGCATTATGAAGTCTTCATGCAAATCTAGAACATCCTTTGCTTGCAAAGTGAGCGTTCCCGGTTCAGCAATGTACAAAGTTACTGTTATAAAAGTTGTTTACCTGTTCTCCGATTCTTGAAAGTTGATCCGGACTTGCATGGTTGGTGTCAGTCAGTTTGTTTGTCGCTGGTGTTTGTCAATAAGATGTGCTTCCTCCATGTTGTACAACCGTTTTTGTGTGTTGGCTCTATATGTTGTCTAAAACAGGTTGATCAGGATTTGCATGTTCGTTCTCAATGATTCCATGTTCTCGGCTTGTTTGTCACTGATGTTTTTCACTGACAGATGTTGCACTTGGCACGAGAGGCTGCTTACAAATGTTGGTCAGGGTTTACATTTTCGGCCAAAGCTTCCCACACCCCTGTACCGAGGTGGCAACTCGCAGCAGTAGTAGTAGAGTAGGAGTAGGAGTAGGAGTGGGAGTAGGAGTAGGAGTGGAGTGGGAGTGGGAGTGGGAGTGGGAGTGGGAGTGGGAGTGGGCGTGGGCGTGGGCGTGGGCGTGGGCGTGGGCGTGGGAGTGGGGGTGGGGGTGGGAGTGGGGAGTGGGAGTGGAGTGGGGAGTGGGAGTGAGGGTGGGGGGGGGGTGGGAGTGGGAGGGGAGTGGGAGTGGGAGTGGAGGGGAGGGGTGTGAGTGGGGGGGGGGCGGGGAGTGGGAGTGGGGGGGTGGGAGTGGGAGTGTGGAGTGGGGAGTGGGAGTGGGAGGGGCGTGGGAGTGTGGGAGTGGGAGTGGGAGTCTAGGAGTAGGGAGTAGGAGTAGTAGTAGAGTTAGGAGTCAGTAGTAGGAGTAGTAGGAGTAGTAGGAGTAGTAGGAGTAGTAGGAGTAGTAGGAGTAGTAGGAGTAGTAGGAGTAGTAGGAGTAGTAGGAGTAGTAGGAGTAGTAGGAGTAGTAGGAGTAGTAGGAGTAGTAAGAGTAGTAGGAGTCGGAGGAGGAGGAGGAGAAGGAGGAGGAGAAGGAGAAGGAGAAGGAGAAGGAGAAGGAGAAGGAGAAGGAGAAGGAGAAGGAGAAGGAGAAGGAGAAGGAGAAGGAGAAGGAGAAGGAGAAGGAGAAGGCGAAGGCGAAGGCGAAGGCGAAGGCGAAGGCGAAGGCGAAGGCGGCGGCGACGGCGACGGCGATAGTAATACTATTAGTACTAGTAGTACTAGTAGTACTAGTAGTACTAGTAGTACTAGTAGTACTAGTAGTACTAGTAGTACTAGTACTAGTAGTAGTGGTGGTAGATTTTTGGTTTTTGCCGGTAACATGATAGTTGCAGAAAAAGGCAAAACATAGTAAATCTCCGTGTGTCGGGCATGTTCGCAAGCGGCAGGAACACTTCTGACAGCGCATCTGGTTGCAGAAACATCAAACATTCCTCTGCAGTATGTTAAAAAGGCAGAAACGTTGAAAATTCCAGTGATGCAGGCATGCTCCCAAAAGGCATGAACGCTTGTGACAGCCCGTGTTGTTCTAAAACCGCCAAACATCCGTTTACAGCATGTTGAAAGAGAGTAACCAACCCCCCCCCCCACCCCCAACCAAAACAAATCCGGCTGTTAAACGGCAAGCAACGAAAAAGACAACTCGACAGCTTTATTAAAGGTGAGCCAAAACCCTAATGGATGAGGATAACGTGAGGGAAAACATAGCGACTTCCACAGGGTAGGAGTAGCGTAGGAGTGGTATCGGAGTAGTACAGGAGTAGTATAGGAGTAGTATAGGAGTAGTATTGGAGTAGTGCAGGAGTCGTACAGGAGTAGTATAGGAGTAGTGCTGGCAGTACAGGAGCAGTAGGAGTTGTATTAGTAGTACCAGTGCTACTGTTCTTCTTCTTCTTCTTCTTCTTCGATCCCTTCCAGCCGGGTGGAGTGGATCCTTTTTTGACCCTCAGCAACCCCCTCACCCTCTTCCTCGAGCCCATCGAAGCGAACTCAACTTCAGCTCTTCAGCTCCAGCCTGAGGAATGCATCATACCAAATCCGGAATCTGTGAAGCTGTTGGCCGACCCGTTCTGTGAGAAGCATGCGGCTTGCAAGGAGGCACGCTAAATCGGTGCTCTATATCTCAGGTGAGTCTGACGTGCCCAGTTGACAAGGGTGACTGGGTTTTTAGTCATAACAAGTCAAGATGAATATCTGCTGCAACTTGCCGTCGCTGTTCTTGTACGAGTTTGTTGGATCTTTTGTGGTGTCTTCACAGGCCGGATTCGTGGGATCATGCTGTCCCATGGTGTCGGCCTCAGGATTCCATGGATTCCAGAGCCCAATCCACAGTTCTGATGAGTCGCGACGAGTTGTGGAACGGGACTAAGGAGTCTGGCATGTCTCGATGCTGCTGCGACTTCAACGTAAACGCAGAGGCCGCCAGATCGGCGACGAGGTGTCATTCACAGAATGTGCAGCAACCAACTTCAGGTTTTTGAGGACGAGATCTTGGATGAGAAGATTGCCGCGGAGGTCTTGCAAGCCCCGGCTGTAGGCACAGGGTGTGAAGAGCCAATGCTACCTCAAGCGTTGGCATCGATACCGGTTGAGTAACGTGCAGAGAGGCTTTGAGCTGATCATGATCCAGTCAGCGTGGTGAACTCAGTGTTTCCGATGATGCATCCAGATACTGGCAAGCGTTGGCCGAGGACTGTGCTGCCGTTCATTGGCGTCATATTCGCTTTGCTGTTCTTGATCATCTATGCAGTTCGGGCCTTGGGTTCCATGGGGCCCTTGGGCTCGCTCTGCAACGTCCACGCCACTCAGATTCCAAAGCCACCGGGCAGAGATGACGGCACCTCAACCTGCTCCGAAAGGCAACTTTCTGTGAGTTGCTGTGTGCGAACTCTGTCCATCCGGGAAGTATTCGTTTCCCTGCAGCATTGTTGCAGTATTGGTCACGTGAAATGTCGGCATTGAAGCAGAATTGGAGAAAAAGAGTTGACAGGATGTGGTACCGCGTTTGTGGACCGACGCACAGGCTTGACATGGTCTCGGCTTTGATGCCATGAGTTGATGCAGTTGATGCCTCTGTGAGCCACGGAGTAAAGACCAGTCACTGCCAGTCACGTTAAATGCGATTTTTGACAGGTGGCTGCAGGGCGGAGGCCTGATACCTACCATCCTGCAGCGCTCCCAGAAGCTTCTCCCTCGCGTGACCTTTCTTAAGACATCTCAAGACATCTCACGACGTCCTTAATACATCCTGCAGCATGCTGCCGAGCGAGCTGCCGAGCGAGCTGCCGAGCATGCTGCAGGCTTCATCTGGTACAGCGGAGCCAGTTTGACAGATGGTGGACTTTGATCTTGAAGAGGCCGAGCCTTGTCAGGTGCAGCTTTGTTTGCTTCGGTCTGTTTGGGCCTCTTCCTGTGGGCAGGATCTTGCTCTTGCTGTTTGGCTTCATTATTGGCGGGATGCTCCTGTGGGTGGTGCCGACCTCTACGCAGATACTCCCTCTCAGTTTTGCCGATCGGTGTTCATGACAGTTCACTGTGCTCCCAGTTGCTGTCCTACTTGCTTGCCGAAATGATCACCAGGCACAGCCTTGTTTCACCGCTGCGGCGCAACGAATCGTTGTTTTTCGCTAAATGTTCTGGACATGTGCAGCATAGCCCACAGACAGAGCAGAATTCAGATGCGCCTTGCTGGCTGGAATTTTGTGCAGGATCATTTTGGCCTGCAGCTTCTTCATCCGGCTTTCGAAGTCGTTACGGCCTCGGGGTTCCTTGGTCGGAAGGTGAAAGTTGCGTGTACGAGATTTAAGCAGCGCCAGGCGCTACGATCCGAAGAAACCTGCAGAAAGGAGCCTGGATGGGGGAGCCTTTCAGAGTGTTTGTTGCTGGCCCTGGGTAAACGTGAGGTGGCATGCTAGTTTGCTCCGGTTACTGTTGCGATGATAGGCTCGCAATAAAGAATCGTGCAGGCCAGGTTCAGAGAGGCGGGGTTCCCGGCCCGAATAAGTCGGGCGCCTTGTGGCTGGAGACCTTGGAAGGCTCGAGCAAAAAAGCCCATAGGATCCATAGATATCCATAGGGGATTTAGGTGGATCAATAGGATCAGTTGGCCAAGAACCGGGGAGTGGCGAACTTGGCCAACCTCGGCCTTCCGTTCGTCCTCAGACATTTCAGACATTTTGCCTCAGCGTCTTGGGGAGGAAAAGGCTGGGCATCGTCCTGGGCGTCCCCATCGGTGACCCTGCGGGAGGCTTGGAGTGCGGACCTTACTGTAGTTTTATCGCTGGCAATGTACTCAAGTGACTCAGTCCTGATACCTGCTCTCATGTCAACAGTTCTTAACAGTTACAGATTTAGAAGCAGCGACCGCCAGGCCATCAAAGAATTTTCGTTTCATATTCCCGCCTGACATCCCTCTTCACACCTCAGCTATGGCAGACGAAAAGTCATATCAATGCCTGTAAATAAACTCAGACATCTCAGGTGGGTTGCAATTCAATGGAACGCAATGCAACGCAATGCAACGCAATGCAATGCAGTTCAATGCAATGCAACCAGCCGTAGATCCAGGAGTCCATCGGATCTGCAGACTCTGAAGCAACTCAGGCTCAAGCCTCCCAACCTGGTTGGCATCATCTTTGCATTCTTCGAGAGCATCGTGTCTTGCCCACAACAGAGCTGAGTGGCCTTCCAGAGTAAACATGTCGTGTACTTGCACAGTAGGCACTGACAGCCAGTCAACGTAGTTCAACAGCCGCTGGAGCTGTGTGTGTGTGAGTGTGTGTTGGCCTTGCCAGGTCGCGGGCCTCGTGAATGTCGTGCAAGCCATGTTCGATGTCCTCATCATCAGGTGCAGCAGTGTTGCTTGAACATTCGGTGCTTTTCTGTGGTCGCATGCGCGGATGCTGATGCTAAATGTCTCTTCCAGATTCCAGGTGGCTTTCGTTGAAAGTTGTGACAAGTTAATTTCCATGAGCATTGACCCAGAGTTTGTCCAAAGCAGCCAGTTTATTGTAAACGTCCATTGGGTGGAGATTGAGACCTGCCTGAAGTGCGGCTGTTGAGAGCTTTAAGCATTTTAAGCGCTTTTTGCACTGAGCTTTGCAGGTTTGCCTTCGTAAGCATTGGCGTGGATGCCTCAGGAAAGTTGGCCGAGGAGATCTTAGGATGTTGAGAGGATGCTTCGTTGCCTTCATATTTGCATCTGGCTTCGTGCCGTCTTTGCTTGCTGCTGTCACTGCATCCTTCTGTGAAGTGTGCACTTGCGAGTGCAAGAGCAACGCTCCAGAAATGTTGGGGGGAGTTTTCAGCAAGCGCCCACCAATTCACGAGAAATGTTGCCAAATCATTATTGCGAACCACTTTATTAGGGAGGCTTCTTCATTGGAGTCAAGTTTGGCGGCCCATTCAGGGTCCCCGAGATGTGCTGGGCCCCCTCCTCCCCAAAGCCCGGGACAAGCGTGCGACTTGACAGAGTTGCGGGATGTTGCGGGTGCAAAGGCCCAATTCCGGACCTTAATGATGCTCGTGATGCTCGTTTTTAGGATCGGGGCTGGGCCCCCATAGGAGAGTCGGGAGAGATCAATAGCCGACGGTGGCTGTTAAGGCGTCGAGAAAGGCTCTGGTTGTGTGCTCAGTGCCCCATACTCAGGAAGTACGATGGACGGGATCTCCTCGTGTGCGGCTCTCGCATGCGACTCGTGTGCGCCACGTGTCAAGGAGTGCTCGGCGTCGTAATCCGACGCTGGCTGCATTGGCTATGCTCCTGAAGCACAGAAAGGTAGTGTCGCGCGGTCCGAATGGCTATAGTCTGGCAGCAGATCTGTGTCTGGCCACGGCCCAGACACAACCAACAGGCACGCGCAAGGGGCGGATGTGCTACCCGCCCTGCTCGCACGCGCGCTGAGAAGGATGGGGGACACAAATGAGGAAACCAGGAAAAGGGGAGGGAATGAAACATCAAACCCTCTGATGAGAAGGGTTTTTCTTTGCACTCCGATTTTGAGCCAGTGTATGACAGCGTGTGGGACTCCCAACCTCCAGTTTGGGTTCATCTACTATTACGTTCCATGCTGTGCGACGACACTGACCGCTGAGAATTCTTGTTCACAGATTCTGTGGTTTCGGAGTCGCTGGCTGTCTTGGAGTCTTGGCTGAAGGCGGTGGATTTGCGGCTCGAAGCATTCGACATCATCATTCATGCACCTTGCCAACAGTGCTTCAGACGCGTTGTTTGGCATCTATGGGACAACTAGTTGAGGTCCCGACTCCTCCTAACGTCGACGTGAGAGCATTGCCTGGAACTCGATTCCGCTTCTGAATCCCTTGCCCTCACCGAATGATGTCGGACATTCTGACGTAACATCAGCTGAGGGTACAGTTCCTTGTTGACCTTGCCTCGTTTCTGCCTCAGCTATCAGCTGCGCTATGTTGCACTTTGTTGCACTCATCCTCGCGGAATCATGTCCCAATTCCGAATTTCCAGGCTGGCCACTCGATTCTTCACTGCGGTTCTCAGCACCATGTTCGTGGGTGCTCCGCGTTGTGAAGGACCGAAGCTGGTAGCAAAGTTTTGCGAGTGGCGCGGAAAGTCACACTGCCGAACGTGTCCTGGTAGCTGCTGATGCTACTATGGCATCCTGAAGGACCAGTTGTGATCCTGTCTGCTTGCTTCCTCATTGATCCCAGACTGCACACTCTAAATTTCGTGATTTGTGGTTGCCAGGGCAATGTTGGCGTGTGTTGTAGAAGTCTTTGCGAAGTCCCTGCGATGCCTTTGCTGTCTGACTCTACCAGGTCATCACGCTGCTGATGCAAGGGACTCGGGCGGCTTCGTGTTTGCTCAGATCCGCATGCGCTCAGATCCGCTCTTCACTTTGAGTTCCTGCGTTGAGATGCAGCCGCGCTGCATCACTCTGCCAGTCTTGTCAGCTTCCAGTGCACGCAGTGGATACAGTTGTTGAGTGAGGGTCCGATGGCTGAACTATGACTACTTCGGCCTTCTGACAGCAACTGGCTCAGACAATTTGAAAAACACAGAGACAGAGCAGTGATGAACACTGCTGGCGAAAGGAGTGCGGAGGGTTGAGGGTGGGCTTGCGAATGCAAATCGCCCAGGCTGCCAAATACAGCGCTCAGAAAACGCGTCCAACCTTCCAGAAGAGCATGGCCAGGGACCAACAAATTGCCGACACTTCTTGCGCCAACCGAGTGCAAGCAGAATTCTCCTCGACATGAGACATGATCAGGCTGTTGGCTTGACTGCGGGCGTGTTGCTGACCTGTTTGTCGTGTTGCAGAAGCTAGCTTTATGATGCATGTGTTTGCACTATCCTGCCGTTGTATACCCCGAACATGATCATGGGAAGACCACGACCATAGCACACTGAAGCTTGATGTGTTTTGTGTTTGTCCATGATCAGGCGATGCATTCATATCGCATCACAGACTATAGGACTGTGAATGCCTTCAGAAACTGGCAGTTGCAGAGCGGCATCTTCATAGGCATGCAGTGCCGGGACCCTCGGAACCTCACAAATCTTTGCGCAGCATGCAGCTTTGCACTGCGCACGAGGCGGCAAGAAGGTTGCTCGAAGTGTTGAGGCCTGATGCTGATCTGTACGCGCTCCTTGAATTTGGTGGAGATCGACCCATTCAAGGTCCGCTTGCATCATCGCATGTGTGCTGCACTTTAAGGGCGTTGCATCCTGAACTCATCCCCTTCAAAACTCGGCTGACGACCGGGTTGGGCGTAGACATCGCAGTCATGGCATTTGCGAAGTAGCTGTTAGGGCCTATCGTGACATTGTAGACATCTGGCTGTCGCTCCTCGGATTGTACCTTGAAACTTGGAGTTGCAAAAGACTTGTATGCCTTCTAACCTTGAGCTTCCACTCTTGGTTGCTCTGTTGCTGATCCTGGAGTTTAAGTCCTGTAGCAAATGCTGACACGAAGACATCATCAAGTGCTCACCGAAACAAAACCACGTCGAGCAAGGCTGAGGAAACACCAGACAGATAAGAGATATAAAACAAACGAATTGACAAAGCTTGGTGTTCAGACAGTGCTCGAACTCTTGTGCTTCTTGAGCGAGGTAAATTTCGGACGTCTTTATCCCTCAAAACGCAATTAGGGCCCTGCAGACCGAGGCGGGCGAAGGCTGGACCTGCCCGTATCCAGTCCGGGACTTGCTGAGTGCAAGAACGGTATTCATACACACGACCTGAGAATCAAGCCCTGAAGCAAGCGATGATCTTGCGATGTCTGTTGTTTTTTGGTGAATTCTTAGGGTAGTGGTGCCTCAGGACGACCACATCTCCGTCATAACGGGCCGCATCTTCCTTGGCGTGATGGTGCCCATTCAGCTTTTAATTTTCATCTTGGGCCACAGTGCTTTGCTGCCATCTTTGAGGCATTCTTTGAGCTTTCTCCTCTACACCACATAGAAAAGGCTGCATGTCGTGCCAGGCGTTGATTACCCTAATCATCGCCTTCCTTTGTGCCAACGGGTGGCTTCCTGATGCGTGCTTCAGTCCGTGCAACCATGTGTAGCCCTACGACCGAAATCAAGATTGGCATGTGTACATCAATTATGATTCAGAATGCTCCTGTTGCCCGACGCTCCAGTGACAGTTTGCGAGTGAGGCACTTCATGGGTCAGGAGTATATCCTCAGAGATTTTAGCCGGAGACTAAGTCCACCAGAAGGAGTGCAGGTTTCGTTTAGAGGACATGCTGACTTCAGGCGCATCGAAACTAGCTAATATTTGTTTACTTTCATGAAGTCCTGTGAGGCAAGCAAGTCGACATGAAGCTAACAAAGCTGGACCCTGCTGCCCAGCAGTGCGCCGTGCTTCTTCTGTGTCAACTCTGATGCCACATCGCTGTGATGTCAAACGTCTCTCCTCTTCGAAGTGAGGACCCACAACCGCCTTAACCGACCTGTCATGGCAGGGCCGAGGGTGGTGGCATCCTTCGGACTTCGCACTGCCGCTTGCTCAATGGTTCACATGCTTGACCATGCTTGCCAGTGCCGCCAAACCTGGAGCGGCTATGAGCGGCTATGTTTGCGACGCTTTAGACTCGACGGAAGCTTGTGCACTCAATGCCAACGTGCCAGTCTTCAGCATGCTTCCGACTACGTTCGGCATCTGGATCGACGGCTGGAATGTCAAGGCTTCGTTGTGCATGCGATTTTCAAGTACTTACATGCAAGGACGACTTGCTTTGTGCCAGGGATACCTTCTGAAGGAGCGTGCTGAACTGTATGCAGAGGAGCCGGCCGCAGTTCCGAATGCATTTGCAATCATTTGCTGTGTTGCGGCTTGATCAAAGATGTGATGAGAGACTGGCGCAGGAGCTGCGAGTCCCAACCGTTTGCTCCAAGCTTAGTCGCGCTTACAAGATGTGACACGCAGCAAGTGGATGTTCCCAGGTGTGTTTGTTCCAAGTCGTGGAAGCCGTGGAAGCTCTCGGATTGAGGTGAGCACTGTGGAAAACCCCACATTCCATACCTTGAGCTGATGAAGGCGTCAGGCCATCCTTGAGCATTATTGTCATCCTTCCTCCCATCTTGAATTTGTTTGATTCGGGCTGCAATGGGTTGCAACTTTGCCCGCGTTATCGCTAAGCTCAGGCAGGCAGCTGAGCTTGGCGTACCAAATCTTCCCCTTTGGGGCGGTGATTGGGAAGGCCAAGCTGACTGAGAAGTTCCGACACTGTAGATTCTGTAAATTTGACGGAGTTTCAAGGCGCTCTCGCAGCGTCTTGAAAGTAGAGCTCGAATCAGTGGACAAGTCCAGAGCCATCCAGATGCCTCAGCAAACGATTGGAAAGACTCGCTGTGTGAAATGCAAGGCTCACCCGTGGAGTGCAGCAAGTGCCTTAAGAATGCTAAAGTATGCAAAGAGGTGTTGCGCAGTATATTTTATCTCAGCCTCAGCGGTAGCGCAAGGTCCACAGTTGTGCACAGCATCCACCAGTACATGCCTTTTGGGCAGGCCGTTGAGCGGTTCAACAACCCGCCGCTGGTCTACTTGGGGACTGAACTCAAGTCGGGCTCCGAGACACGGCACGACACACGAACAGAAGAGTACGACTAAACGGATAGGTCCTGGTTTCATCTGATTTTTGTTGCCAACCGCAAATTTCCATGCCCTTTGAGGTGCCATTTTCTTCGAATTCTGCTGCCATCTCTGCCCCATGAGCCGCTCTGTTAAGGTGCTTAAGAGCGAGGCCTCACGTGGACAAGGTGAAGTCTTTGCAGGGCAGGAAGATGACCGCAGCACAGGCGCTAGTAGAGTTGGTAGAGGTCACCTTTTTGTGCTGAAGTGGATTGTGCCCTTTGTGCAGTCGGCGAAGTTTCGAGTCCAGCTCCAAATGGCCATGCTCAAGGCCAAACAAACCCCACAAACAATCCCGTGAGGCATTGTAACGAATTGTGAGAACATGTGAGTCATTGTCACAAAAGTTGAGTTCAATCCTGAGTCGCAAATGGCCAGCAGCTGCCGTCAGGACCTGGGCCTGCCCATTGCGCTCCGGATCTTTTCAGTGACCATGTCCCTTGGCGTGGGAAATGGACAGCAGTGCAGCGTGCAGTGTAGTGTGCAGTGTAGTGTGCAGGTGCAGGTCAACGGGTCCCAAGAGCGGGCTCATGGGGTCATATTGGGTTCTCCACGAAGCGGGTGTACCGCCAAAGAGCGGATGTGCGCCTGAATCCGTTTTGTTGTTTCCCATTGAGGTACGTGACGATGGTTTACTTTACCGCTGTGATGACAAAGGACAATGCCTTGGCCACAGTGTGCTGGAATGCTCCTTCTCCATGTAGCAACACGTAGCTCCCCAACTACTTTAAATGCTTGAAGACGTGACTTTGGATTTCGGAACAGGAAGCACCATCAGCAGAAAATAGAAACGAAATTCCTTAAGCCAGGCGGCAGGCGACTCAGCTTCCTTGAGGATTTGGGGCCGCCGTGGTTTTTGGAGCCTAGGATTCAGTGCGATGCTCTCTGAGTTACGAATTGCCTTGTTCCATTCGGGTGTCTGTTTCCTGAAATGGCTTCAGCCCTGTCCCAGTAAGTTCCCAAATGCTGCCTTACAAAGCCCCGTTCTCCGAAGATCTTTCCCGATATCTCGGGAACCGATGATCCCACATGCTGCCATGCGGAAGGTGGTGGAGCTTGGCGTCGAGATGTTCCAGATCCTCACCTATGTGGCGTTCTCCAAGGTTCGACGACGTTCAAAGCTAGTTGAGTTTTGCAGTGGTCGCTTGATGGCCACGCAAGTACGTCAAGTGTGAGGCCATGTGTGAAGTGTTCTTGCCAATCGTGTGCCAGAACCTGAGATGGCCATGTTCTTCAGAAGGTGTGAAGGTGCTTGCTTAGTTTGTTTTTGTGTATGTGGAGTTGGGTCCTGGTTCCGATCGCGTAGTCCAACATGTCCAACTTATTCTTGGGCCTTCTGACCTTCTGAGGCGTGGCGATAGTAGGTGCTTTGGTGGTTGCCGCCCGGGAGCTCAGGACAGAGTGGGCAGATGAAGGCTCTGTGGGGGGCAGGGAGGAAAGATGAACAAAAGATGAAAGTGGGAAGAGTGAACGTGAATGCGCCAAGGCAGTTGCAAATTTCCAAAGACGGGAAGAGAGCGTGGAGATGGGAAACTTTGACAAGAAAACCTTTGAAAAGAAACCTTTGAAGAGACTTTCGGAAACCTTCAGCTCCAGCATGACCTGCAATCGAGCCGAGTCTGGAGTCGCCGCGAAGAAGGCGTCGAAGGCGAGTTCCTCTCTCTCTTTTTTTCTCTCCCTCTCGCTTGTTAGGGAGAGGCACATGTTTGTCAGACATGCCTGCAGACATGCTTTGATACTGTGAGTCACGTGAGGTGAACGTCGAGCCATACCGGCTCTCACCGGTGGTGGGGCAGCTCTGTCCTTGGTGTCACATCGGGAGTCAGAGGGTGAGGATGGCTTCGCCTTAGCTTCGCTGAGCCATCTTTGGAAGTATCTTTGGTGCACATCCTGAGGGTGCTCCATGGCGTGTCTTCCGGCTTCGCGTTTGCCCTGTTCCTTTTCCAGGACAGCCTTAGAGCCTTAGAGTATGTGATAGTATGTCAGACTGACTTGACCAGACTGTGCGAGAGGACCCTGGTGTGGACTTCACTCTTGGCCTGGCCTCGTTCTTGGAGTGCTCTTTTGGTGTTTTTTTTTGGGGGGGGGGGCTTTTCCAGTGCTCTGCTATGCTCTGCTCTTGCAGGTTTCAATGTTCAGGGAGCCTTCAGCCCAAGTCCCGCATAGCGGAATAGTGAAAAGGGGCAAATATGACACGAGTTCTGAAGAGGAGTTCCCTGGTAAACCTAAGAGCAAAGCTGAACCCCTTGCATTGATTTGGTCGCTCCTTTCCTCTGCATGTGTTGCGTTGCCATGCCAATGCCGTATCTTGTCTGCAGTGCGCATTCCTGGGATGGTTGGTTGGCGCCTCGCTTGCAGCCTGGACCTTAAAGCGGCGATCAAGCAACCAGCGACAGTGTGTGACAGCCAGTGCTCGGCTCGTTGTTGTCCCAACATATAATGATCAAAGACGGTGTCTTGGCATTTGCCGGCATCACAAGGTTTCATGTCTGACTGCTTCGGTATTCCCTGTTCCTGAATCTGTTCACGTTCGCCTGATAGCCAGGAGATCAGTGTCACAGTAGAGTCAGGGTGCGAGAGCATCATACACTGCTCATGGATGTGGTGACGGTGCTGCGTTCAGGTGTTGATCGCTCTGTCGTCCTACGCTCTGGAGCTTTGTAGGGGGCTTACAGTTGGTCTTCACTTTCTGCTTGCTAACGGATTCCTGGCCCCGAGGAATGCAGCTTCGGAAATAGTCCGACCATGACTGCAGAGATCTGGAGAGTTGCACCCCTACAGCTCTAGACGAGGTGCGAATTGCGACCTGGCTGGGGGCATCTTCAAGGCATCTGTGCGACGAATGCTTGCTTGGGTCTCTCGTTCAGCCTCAGTTGATGCGGGCATTTTTCACACGAAATTCAACTGTCATCGAGTTGCGCGCAGCAATCGTTGACTGCGTGAGGATCGCCAGAGTATGCAGGTAGCTCTGCCATGTTGGTTTTGTAAGGGTGGCCATTCCAAAAACGGCGAGGTCCAAAAATGCTTTCACATCTGCCAGGTCAGTTTTGAGGGCCTTCTAAACCCGCCCTCCAAGCTTGGGCTCCAGGCTCTGAAGCAGAAAGAGACCGTGCATTTTCCAGGCCCTTTTAAAATGCGTTCAACCAAGATATTTTAACACTTGCAGGCAACCAGGCGCTCAGCATGGGTGTTCTCAGGCCTCCAAAATGCGTATTGGCCTTGTCCAGTCTTCCAAATCAGTGTCCTCGCGTTCCCCACAGCCAGGGAATCAGGATCCGTTTTGCCAAATCGTACCGCAGATCTCGCTTGACCAGTGGATTTGAAGTGGCTGTCGCGGGCAGATTCCCAAGCTGTGTATGGCATGCAACGTACGTTTTGCAGGCATCTGTGAACGTGTTTTTCCAGATGGATCATTGACATGCATACAGTTTAAAGAACACGGCATCCGACCGTGCCTCCAAGTGCATGCAAGCAAATCACTAGAGCGTGCTTGGAGAGAACTTAGGGTTGTCCATTCGGGCCAATCCCAGGTCCTTTAAAGGGAGGGCTGTGAAAGGCTCGGAAACACACACCAACAACGCGGAAACTTAGACTCTCGTTCTGTTGGTGAGACACATGAAGAGTTTGTGGGAAGAGAATGGATGAGAAACCCCAAACAACCAAACAAACGCATAACGTTTCCGAAAACAAAATGGGCCCGACATGGGCAATGACACAGAATATTGCTGTCCGTCCCGGCCATTCCCTTAAAGGGAAGGCTCTAGAAGGCTTTGAACAGCCAGGTCCCAAACCGCCCCCCCAAATGGATGGTGCAACTACGAGGGGGTTTTCTATATTGGGACCAACGGCCCGAAAGCAGATAAGCGCTGGGGATGCCCACCAGTTTCCGACTTTCAACTCGCAACTTTCTTGTCCCAGGCTCTCGGGACGGCAGGAATTTCCGAGGAATCCCAAGAACAGCTTTGGTCTGATCCAAGGTTTCATGTAGGGACTCCCATTTTTCAAGCAAGGCAAGGAAAGCTGAACAGAGCAACTACGCAAGGTAGTTCAGATTGTAGCATGATAACTTCTGCAAACACGTGTCAGCAATGGCTCTTTGTTGCAAGTCTTATTCTGTTTTCAAGTTCATGTTCCATCAATCTTTTCACGTCGAGAGGGCGAGCACGCAAGAACAGTTTCACGGTGATGCACGCATGCGCGGGGCAAACTGCTGGTCATGCACGTAGTGCAGCTTACATGGCAGAGCTTATGAACTGCCGCAGAGTATGTGTTGCTTCAGTGCAACTTTTGGCTAACAGCCCGCTTTTGGTTTCGATGCAAGCTAAGAAATTTTCAAAATTTACAAGTTGTCAATTGCCTCTTTGTCCATCTTTGGCACATTTGGGTCTCCGAGGGAGCTCCTAAGAGCTCGTGAACCGAATCCTCTGCCAGAGGTCTGCTTCGCCGCGCTGTCGGCCGTAGGCCTTGCAAGGCCACGATCTTTGCAGCGGCTAATCAGTCCAATGATTGGTCTCATGATGCCCAAACGGCCAGGCTTTCACAGTGAAGGAACTGATGTTCAGTAAAAAGAGTGAGCTGTGAATGCACAAAGCATCAGTCACGACCAGGTCATTGCAGGCTTTGACACGTGACATTTGCTTGCCAGGGTTTTCACCTGGAGATTGGCCGAGACAAATTTCTATCTCGCCATGTCCATGCTGGTGGGTATCCCAGCAGTCACTGGGAAGTTCCTCCCTTCGAAAGCGGAGTTTCTCAGGCTCTTGTTCTGGTGCCGGCCACGAATCTTGCATTCCGGAAGTCTCCGCCGCAAGCAGATGGTGCAGAGCTCAGATGGGCTTATGGGCCCGATGCTGGGAAAATGCAAATGGGTTGCTGCCCAATTTGCTGCCTACCCGAAGAGGCACAGAGTCCGACAGCAGCGCTGGACTCTCGAGTCTCGTGTGTGGGTGATGTCCTGTTTCACATGGTATTTCATGGTTCATGAGTCTTCCACGAAGTCTTTGTGCTTAGATCTGGCCATTGCTGTCCACTGCTCGGGTCATGCCACCACCCCAGCAGTTCTTTGCCTCTACTTGCTTCTTTCGGGAGCGAGATTTTGGACTTCCTGGACCGGGAATCAAAGCTGAGGTCTGGCCCCTTTGGCGTCATCGCTGGTGTTTTCGGTGCCATGGTTGCATACGAGGTGCGGTGGCCCTTGGTACCGGAATAGATCATGAAATGCGACGGCCCATCTTGTCGTGCAGCCCATGGCGACCGCCTTGGGGGCGGACATCGGCTTGCTCATCTCAGTGGCCTTCGGCTACCTCATAGGCAAGGATTGTGCTTGCAAGCATGAAAACATGAAGCACACGCTCACACACGCATAGCGTCAAACGAACCTTCTCGCCAGCCTCAGCTTCACAGGCCTAGCGTACGGCTTGGCCACAGACAAGGTCCTGGAGAAGCCTGCAGGTGTGGGATGGTGCGGGATAGTACGGGGTACCACCGTCTAAGCTACGCGCTGCGACGCGTTGCTGTGGCTTTCTTTGGCACGCTCCATCAGAGTCCAAAACACACGTCCTGACCCAGAGCTTACGAGGCAAGTGGAGCATAGCGGCTGGGACATTAGCCGTCCGCTCAGAGACCTGCACGTGCGTCTGTCACGCTCGGGCTTCTCTTCTGCTGTCACAGGCGGCGCTCGGAACCAGCCTTTTGATCCACTGGGTCGTTTGCTCGGAGTGCTATCCTGTTCTGTGGTTTCTGACATTTTCTTCTGACACTCCGACTTTTTTTTGCAGGTTGTAATGTGCAGTTTGGCCAATCACTAGTGACGGAGGCAGTTGGGGTGATGGTGGGATCCGTCGTGGGCAGCCTTACCGGGGCGCTGATTGAGCGACGGGTGATGAAGGTCCCGATTTGCTGATCTTGATTTTGCAGCGATGGAAAATCTCCATACCGGGTGGAAGCTAGAGGTTTAACCCTGTTGCTACTCGAACAAAGTTGATGAGCCTCGGGCATCCCATAAATCTTCCTTCCCTCAGAGAGACTCTGCTTTGAGCCAAGAAAGTTTCTTGTGTCTTGGGGCTTCGGTTCTGCTGCCGTTCTGCTACGAATCTTTGCCAGGAGATGGATGCACAGTGTTTGGAGCCCCCACGCTTCACGAAGAACGTGATGCAGTCCAGTCCGCAAGAGACTAAAAGATCCTTGCTGAGCCGCTGAGCCGGGCTGCAGCCCCATGCCAATCTCACCAGCATTCACCAGCATCTCAGGACCTTGGGTCCCGTCTCCAATGTGGTCGCTGCCATGCGCGACAAGTCGGAACAAGAAGCCGGCGACTGAGAAGAAGCCGCCAGGGCAACGGAAGAGATGCGAACTTTTTCCATGAACTTGGAACTGCTGTATGCTTGTATCTATTGCTTCCACGTGCAGGTGGAAATCCACACCAACCTACCCACTCTGTACAAGGCCAAATTTACGCTGGAGAGCTTCTACAGGGAAAGGGACATGCGCGCCGCTCATGCAGTTCCGTGATCCATTGGTCCTGTCGCCCCTGGGTCTCGTGGTCCATGGTGCCACTGTGGCTTGTACTTCTTGTGTGCTTAGCGCAACCCGGCAAGATGGTGGCATTAAATGGGGCTGTCGCCCACAGCTGGCCATTTCCCACATCGGGCGACATGTCAGGCGCAGGCTCCGACTGTCGACCTCGGATCAATGAAATTCGCCCGCCCAGCACGCTCGAGCACTCGAGGCCAAAGGCTTAAAACTCACACGTGTTTTTCCAGTTTTAACGCTGCCTCGGCCCTCATATGCCGAAATCTGAATGCCTGCATCGAAACCCCGCTCGGCGACTTTCGTTTTGCCACCTGGATCTGCTTCGAACTACTTGAAATTGATCCCCTTAGTGGCCGCCTGCGAAGGGAGGACACGACCACTAGCGATGGGAAGGCAGTTTTTTTTGTGCAAGAACCGAAAGATGTCGGTGCGGATGCTAGACCGATGGTCGATGTTCGTCCATCGGGTGCATTGCAAAGACGGAAGGCGGCGCATGAGGGTTGTAAGGAGTCCAGGAAGTCTGCCGCATGGTCAAGCCACAAGGGTCTAGAGTGGGGGGGTCCACAGGGGAAGGTCATGGAAGGCCCGTGGGCGCATGGGATGGGCTAGGGTGTTTGGGGGCCCAACAGGGGTCTACAGTCTACAGGAGTGGTTCAGAATCTTTGGGTTGCCGTGGGCTTTGGCCTGAAGTTTCTTCCGATCCGTTCTCGGTTCCCCAAACGGTCGGAAGGGGGTCATCGATTTCTCAATAGGCTCGCCGAGGTTGCAACATGGGAGCTGCACAGTCGCACGAATCGTGTTTTGTGATCTGGGATCAGCTTTGCCAAACGTGTAAAGAATTGACCACGGTTCGAAGATCGAATCCCTCGAATGCCTTGGTTTGAGTCTTTTGGCGGCATTTGGTCTCCAATATCTTTCCTGTGAGCAGGCAAGTGCGTCTGGCAACCAGCTTGCGCGGGTCGATTCAGGCTTGTACACTATGTTTTGGGTATGTCATCAATTCTCCGTCTAAGATGTAGAATGCCTTGGCAAATCTTCGCGACAGCAGGTTATGCGAGCGCCTTTGATGACTTTGAGAAGGAGCGGACTCAACTGCCCTTTCCCTCGTCTCCCCTGCCTGGTTTGGCTTCTGCTGGAGTTGGCAATGCTGCGTGTGGACCTGCTTAGGCCAGCGAAGGAACGTTTGCAAACAAGGGGTGGAAGGGTTCCTGGTTGAGGGAGGCGTTGTTTGTTGGGAGGGTTTCGGGAATGATGGTTGGGGATTGCCAGGCAGCCTGCGCTGACGGCAGTTTCCGACGCCCCTGACTCCTTTGCATCTCCTGGCTTGGCCTTGCGTGATGGATCTGACGGGTCTCCAGAATCTCCGTCGCTACCTGCCAGGCTCTGCTTTTGAACGTCTTGGAGCTTTTTCTTGGGTTTCAATCTGTACTCGCTGAACCCGGCGTTCAGGCAGGATGTGGCCCAGACTGGAGGCATGCAGGATGAATCGGACCCGCAAAGGCCCTGATGCTCCCCTGATGCTCTGTTCTACCGTGTTATGATCGTGTATGGATGTGTGGGGATCAGCTTCCGTGGTGCAGGCAAGAGGAAGGCCCTTTCGCTGTGGAAAGGCGCACGTCGGATCCGAGGCCAAAGCAACTCAACCCAGATCCAACAGCAATAGACCCAACATGACCTAACTGCTTAAAGCATCACTTCCAAGAATTGCCGTGCGCAATGGCAGGCCTCTTGACGAGGCCGAGAACGTCGCAGCATTTGGCACGCCGCGCCCCAAGATGGGTCAACAGAAGCGATTGCACTTCCTCTGTTAGTGCCAATGTTGATAGTTTGTCGAGAGTTGTGGCCACGGCTCAGGAGGTTGTTTTGCAAAATATGTAGGTCTGGGTCTGCAGACTCTAAATTTCCAGATTCAATCCGGACTCTGCGGCCCGGGACTCCACCGACCTGATATTCAATCTGGAAATCTGGAGTCAGGATTCTCTTGTCCTGGGCCCCAGATTCAACCGAAAATCTAGAACCTGGGAGGCTGGCATCCATCTAGGCATGAGGCACTCGTAGTTGACACTTCCCTACTTCATCTTTCCGCGAATTGTCTAACTAACTGTGACAATATTCTACAATTCCCACTACATTGAACGAACTTCTTTTTTCGATTTTTTCGACGAAGGCCCCTTCAACGCGCTAGCAATCCAATTTCTCTAATAAATGATTATGCTGTAATTCTGTTTGTTGTATATATATATGATTCAACCGTGACCGTTAATGTAGTTCCTGCTTCATGGTGGCAGTTGTATTGCGAAGAGTATTTCTCGGTCACCCATGAATAGTGAGAAAGATCAAGAGGAATTGAACAATGATGTATATGAATGCGGTAAACAAAGTGAAAACTGTGTAATTAGCGAAGCGATGAAAAGAAACATCGTCATCCGTGATTATGTCAAAGAGAAGGATTTTGATCAGCTCTGCAATTCTGGCAATTCTGGCGTGCAACTTGGCAGTGACCTTCCAACACGCAAGAGGTGTGTGCAATGCATCGGGATAAAATTTGTCAAATGCCTTAGGCCAATCGAAAAAGTGAATATAGTACATGGTGGCGCTTGGTGTCAACGAGGTCCTAAAGCCTGCGGACTAGGAATGTTGCTTCTCGGATGTGTTCTTCCACTCCGTCGACGAGACGGTTCGCGTGTTTTAGACCCCCAGCTCATGAGTACTAATGCTGTGATGAGTGCTCATGTTCGCTTTATAGCATGAATATGTGATGCTGCCAGATCATTGCAAGAAGGCCTTAGACCTCGAAGGCTACCACGCGCCGTTGATTTAGCTGATATGGTGAATATTTGATCAGCAGTCGCTGCTGTCTATGTTGCTGGTCGAAGTACCAAGCTTCTCACTTGTGTAGTGTATACATATATATATTTATACTGACCGAAGACGGTTGTTCGAGGTCCCTATCTCTCTCTCTCGCGTGATGATGCACGTAAAGTTTGTAACAGCTTTGAAGGAGATTGAGCGGAGTATAGTTGGCAGGGCTGTTGTGGTCCAAGATTTTCTAGGGAGCTTTTGGTGTTTGGACATGTGGAGCTCGAGAGCCTCAACGTAGGTGTTTTCTAAGTGCATCCCACAGGCTGTCGGACATGTGGCGTTCCTGCAGTTTGGTTTCAATTGCCTCATGGAAATCTGTGATGTTTTCGGGCCTGGTGCTTTTCAACGGCCCCTTGTGGGTATGCGCTGGCCTTTGTTTCCACGTGGACCTGCAAGGGGAAGCTCCGAATCTAGGAATCTAGGCTGCCAGCTCTAAACATGTCTAAGCGCGCTTGGCCGAGACCAAACAAAGGGCAAGCTGCGCAAGGTCAGAAGGGTTCCAGCTGTCCTTGTTTGCAAGCTTTGCCTTGTGTTTGCGGTCTGTTTTTTGTTCGTTTTTTTATGTTTTTATCTATATTTTCACTAGTTTTTTAAAGCACATTTTTGCTTCTCATTTTGCTCTTGGCTTTTTGCTTTTCATTCATCCTTGTTTATTTCTGCTGTCTTTTGTTGTGTTCTTGTTGTTTTTGTTTTTTGCTTTGGTGATTCCTTTCTCTTCTTTGCTCTCCGCTTCTTACCGTTGCCTTCTTTTGATCTTTTTTTGTGACATTTTTCGTTTTGCTTGACTCTTGATGTTGCTTGTTGCTTTCTGCCTTGTGCTGTTCGCTTTTTGCTTTTTGCCTTGCTTTCCAGATCTCTGGTCTTACTCTTCTTCTCTGCTTCTGCGCTTTTCTGCTTCTCCACTTTTCCGCTTGTAGTCTGTCATGCCAGCTTTCGCTTCTCTGATTTTCTGCTTTTGGATTTCCGGTTCCGTGTCCCTGATTGGCCACCCGCTGCTTGTCCTCTCCCAACATTCTAAGATCTGAACAGGGCTCCCATTAAGATATCACACGTGAAGCATGCCTGAATCTGGCACTTCCGAATAAACGCCGATAAACGCCGTGAATCTTCGTGTGAAAATGCCAAACCAAACGAGGCCGGGCTCTCTCACAAAGCATTGTGTTTGCAACCCTCCCCCCCCCGTTTTTTTTTGGCTCAGCCCTTAAAAAAGCCATTATGCGAGCATTGTACGCCTCCCCAACCCCCCTTGCTTTAGGGAGTTGCACTGTTTCAAGCCACGCAAGCATGCTTGCTTCCGAAAGCATATGGCGTATGCATCCTTTCCAAACCCATCATGCGAGCATTGCGTTTGCAATGGGGGTGGGGGGGGGGGGGGCTGCGCACCCCCCAACCCCGCCGCTTTTTTGAAGCTGTGCAAGCTTGCTTCAAGGATTACATGAACTCCTTCCAAAGCCATCATGTGAGCGTTGTGTTTGGCTGTTTTTTCAATCCCATGGGTTTAGGGTTTGGCAGGGTTTAGGGTTTAGAGTTCAGGTTTAGGGTTTAGGGTATTGGAGTATTGTGTTTGGGGTTGTGCCCCCCCCCCCCCCCCCCCCCCCCCGACTTCCTTTTTCAGCTTGCTTCTAAACAGCAATTGAATCCTTTCCAAACCCATCATGCGAGAATTGTGTTTGCAAATTGGGGAGGCTGCCGGCCCCCTCCCCCTCCCTCCTCCCAACCCCCTCGCTCTGTTAAGGCAAATAAGTGTATCCCTGCCACAGTTTCGCGACTCGGAACGTTCCAAGGTTGCAAAATTGTACAGGACCGAGGCGAAAGCACGATTCGAACGCCTCTTGGTATTTCCAGACCCTGAAAGCGCCTAAGCCAGAACGTCGCAGGCACGTGGCAACACCGAGAGGGTCGATCGCAAGCTGCAACACATGCGGGGCTAATCAACAGCGTCCGAACCCACAAGAAGCCCTGAGAGGGTCATTGGCTTCCATATGGTAATGTGCACAGGACAAGAAAGACAAAAGCATGCGCAAGAAACAACAAATGCTTAATTTAATTCCGGACCTGCTGCGACTTGTTGCGAGACTTAGTTTCTCGTAGCCGCAATACACTGAGAGAGAATGGTTCTTCACGTGTTGAGCAACTTCAACGTGCATTGCTGGCGTCGACAATGACCGCAGATTAAGCGAAGCATTGCAAAACTCATGTGCTTAAGCCATTCTGCATGGCTTTGGCTTGTTTCGGTTCAGACTTGCACTCTCAGCATAGAAACACATGGATTCGGGAACACGCTCGTCTCTCAATGGCTGGGAAGCGGAGTGGTTGAGAGGTTGAAGGCGCCAGCTGCCCAAACCCCGGTCCTTGTCACCAACAGTACCACTCATATTTGCACAACGCCATCGGTAACTTCGTCCATGTTTCTGCACGGTCGGCTGCTCCATTTTTCTACGAATCGTGGCTCTCTCTGAGCTTTAGCTTGGAGCCCCAGGGTGCGCGAATAAAGGCCTAAGAAACAACAAACTCATTCCGGCCCGGATCCAACACGCCTTGAGTTTTGAATCTTGCATCCGGGCCCGATTAATTTGTTCGGCTTGTTCGGCTGTAGTTTGGGCGCTAGCAGTGCGCTAGCCCCATGATTGAGAAGGCAAGGCTTGGAGCCTGAAGGGCTACCTGTAGAAGCCCCAAAACAAAGAATCATGTTGGGGCTCGGAGTCAGATGCGATTGTCAAGGGTTGAATAGTTTATTCTGTTATCTAGTGTTTCCTTGGGCCTCGCGCTCCCTTGTTTCCTCCTTCCGTTCCTTCCCCGTTCCTTCCCCGTTCCTTCCCCGTTCCTTCCCCGTTCCTTCCCCATTCCTTCCTCTTCATCCTTAGAGGCTTCTGGGATCTGGCACTCTATGGCGCACTTAAAGCAAGCAGCCTCCAATGCTGCTGAGTGACCTTGATGAAGCCACAGCTTGCCCCCTTGCTCTATCACTTATCATGTGCTGTCCATGTGACTCACTGGTCTGAACGTGAATCCTTTCGACAGTCATGTTGCTGCAGCTGTGTGGCCATGAGACATGTGATGTCTTGCTGGAAAAGGTCACAGGCGAGCTGGCACTCGTATGGTGAAGCGGCAGGACCTGGGGCCTTGCAATGGACCCCCAATGCTGTGCTCGATCACAGTTCAGACGTTGCAGCTGGAAGTTCTCATAGGAGTTTCTCCACAGCCTTCGCCGCAAAGAACAGCCCCGTTTCAGAACAAGGCTTGTATCCCATATGCCATATCTCATATGCCCGTGAAACTGACAGAGGCCCAGGGAATTGTTTCAACTTCCTTCTCGAATAGGCTGCCAAGCGAACTTCGTTGGCCGCATCTGCAAAGAATGCAAAGGCCTGCGCACACATTGTTCTGAAAGGAGCAAGTGGTTTGTGGTAGATGTGGTAGTGTTGGTCAAGCGAAGCAGTCGAGTCCGACCGACGTGGGGCACGACTTGGGTTTTCGAGGTGAAGAATCAGATTCCACCACCCGGGCCACGGGCGGCATGGCTCTCAGAAGTTAATAAAGTCTTGGGTGCGTCAGCAAGGACGGATGTAGTTTAGACGTTAAGACATCCCGGTGAGACTTGCGAGGTCTGGGGTGGTGATGCAGGGCCCGGCGGGGTCGGGGGTCCTGGTGAACACAGACTCGTCCAGGACAGCTGAGTCGGGATCATCTGTTGTATCTGCAGTGGTATTTCCCCACTCTCCCCCTGTCCCCCCCCTCCCCCCATGCGTGCCTTCTTAAACAGATTTGTTCTGAAGGATAACTGAAGGATAATAGATGCAACACGCCCGCAGAAGAGACGCGCGAGGCCGCTAAGAGCGCGGAGGCCACGGAGGGCGGAGGGCGCAGGGAGCAGGGAGCGCGTGGAGGTCGCGGAGCGCGTGTAGGGCGCGGAGGGGGCGGAGGGGGCGGACGCGGAGAGCGCGGAAGGCGCGGAGGGCGCTGAAGGCGTTCAGAGCTCGAGCCATCAATCGGCTGCTACGCTCACGTCGCGCTTCCCCCATGGTCCGCGCTCTCCCACGCCCCTCTCCAATCAAATATTCCGACCCCCCTCCCTTGACCGCGTCCTCTCCGTGGCCTCCCATCCGACTCTCCTCCGTTGACCGTCTCCTCTTCGTGGCCTCTTGCGTCAGAACGCGATCCGATAGCACGTCTTCCGCGTTGAAGCGCTAAACGAGAACCCCGCCCCAGAAGGTTTTCGGGAACGAGCGAAGAAAACAACGAGCACGTGCAGAATAGGCGTTCCCTCCCCCCCCTCTTCCTCAAGCACAAGCCGGTCAACCGGATCCGTGATTGGCCGAAGGCCCTGTAAAAAAAGGACGAAAGTGAGAACCACCGGAAAGCACAAAGCTCGAAACGCCAAAAACACGAAGAATGACCGAAACCGGAATGTGCATAGCTGCATAACCCACAAAAACAGAGGTTTTCAGGTTTGGGGCTTGCGCTGTGTGCTGGTGGAATCAAACAGCATGAACATTAGTTATTACCCGACCCATCCCTACCCACAAACCTCCCCATCCCCACCCCCGCCCCCCCTCCCCCGCCCCTCCACCCCCGCCCCCCCACCTCCGCCCCCCCACCCCCGCCTAAACCCTATCCCCCCCCCCCCCTACCCCCCCCCCAAGCAACCCCAGACATGAAACACCCAAAGCCCTGCAACAAAACCAGGAAAGCGCAAAACTAGAAGCGCCAAAACGACGAAGCCATACAATGCAAGAGCCTTTCCGAAAGCGAAAGTGAAGCTGTGGCGAAGTCTGCAGCAACCCAGAGAAACGGACACATAGAGTAGACACATGAGAAGTGACAAATTGCAGAAGTGTAAAATAAAGTCCGAAATCGCGTGCTGGAGAACGCGGAGGAACTGTTCCCGTGCGCGCTTTTCTAGATGCACATTTACGGAATTCATGTTTCAGTTACAACAGTGTTACAACCCTTCAGAGACATGTGCAGCAAGATGCAGCAAGGGGGTTGTAGTCCACGTGCTCTCATGTAGGCTGCCGCGCAGGCTGCGGATGCCACAGGTGCAAAGTTTTGCAAAGTTTGCCTTCAGTTGGGTTTCGTCAGCTCAGCCTTGTTTATGATCTGCCTTCCTATGGTCTGACAGAACTCTCATGCTCCAATGCGATCTGGGAGGCCCTGCAAGTCATGTGACTGGCTCGCAATGACGGCCACCGACTCTTCTGCCGAAGACGTTTCTCATCTGCCTAGCAGCCACGTGCGCATTCGCGAGCCGTACTGTGCAGCCGTATGTATACAGGCAATGAAAGGTTTTGTCGGTTTTCATCGCCAGCACCACTGGCTGCTAGCGAGGCTTCCAGAAGCACAGCAGTGGAAAACTTTAGGATAGCCTGCATTGTGAGCTTCCGATGAGTCGAGGTGCTCCGTGTGCAGTCCTTCCTTTTTCAAGCAACAGGAAAGCAACGAAAGGCTGTTGCAGCCTTGGAGACGTTTAAACTGTGGGCATGTTCAAGAACTACTGGAGGTTTGGTAATGCACTGGATTTGGTCACGCACAGCAAGTGGCATGACTGAATCAGTTGGCGCCGAGCACTGCCAAATGGCAATGCGGAGCAGGATGATCTTGCAGACAGCTTGCACAGCTTTGCGCCGAAGTTGTGACAGCAGAAGAAACAGTGATTCAGCACAAGCAGCATTCAGCAATGGCTTGGCGTTTCCAAAGACCGGCAGAGGCAATTTCTCAGTGTCTGGCATTCATCATCGGTATGTGCGACGCTCAACTTTGCGCGCGGCACCTCGCATCTCCGAGTCTAAGACTGTAGAGCGCGGTGCATCTGCGGAAAGCCAGAGTTTCTCGAGCGGGTCAAGTGCTGCATCGTGGGCGCAGGAAAATTTAGAACATGGGACAACGATGACGCCGGGAATTGGAGGCAGAGCTTCTGATACCTCCTGACTCTGTCGTGACTCTGTCATGACTCTGTCAGCGAATGTACAATCGTAGCCTCGTGCAACAAAACAACCTCGGGGCTTCGGTCTTTTCTCCAGATGTGGATTTCAGTGAGGGTGTGCAGATCGCAGGTATTTCAGATGGCCACAAGGTTCAGCAAAACTACACCCATAGTATCCCACAGTCAACAGCCTGTAGAGCTGCACATGATTTGAGAGCACGGCATGACATCTGCACAGGCCTTCTGATGAATTGCCTAGATACGGATGAGATGACCACATGCCCAGCCATGCATCGCACATGGCTCCTGACGTGTCCCTGGCAGTCAATGGAATTAGTGGTCCATTGTGCAGGCGCGCAAGCTGCGTGGAAGGCAGCGGTGGAAAGTGAGTTGTGCACATTGTCTTTTGCGTTCAAGGTTACGCATTAGCAGCTGTGCCACGGTGCAGGAGGAGCGCATGCTGTCAGTCGTGAGTGATTGTTTCCTCTCCATCAACGCAAAGTCTTGCGAGAAGTTGATTTCTCGGCCAGGTCAAGCTGGCAGTTCAGGAGGCCAAGTGGATGCTTGATAAAGACCATGACTGGCACAGACAAGCCAAGAGAGGCCAGTGGCATCTCTCCACGTGAGCAGCGGATATTCTGTGGAATGCGCGAGCTCTTCAGTTCACTGGATCTGGACGGCCCAGGCACCTGGGGTGCATGAGATGGCAACTCATTCAATGTTTGCTTGTCTATAGGCCAGGACGACACATTCGACCTAACTTTGGTGAAGAGGACTCCGACACAGATGAGGCTCAGCGCCTGCAACCAGTGAGAGAGGACTCATTGTCAGCACAGGTGGCTTCAAGATGTCGAGGAAGGTTTAGGCAAGAGGCCGGCAAATTCCATGCATTGCACGGTTTAGTTTTATAGAATGCGCCTCTGTTGATGCAGATGCAGGCTTGCAGAAGCTCCGCCGGAGGTGCTCGCGGAAGCTTGACAATTCAATTCACTTGCGCTAAGCCGCTACTGAGGTTGTAGCAGGATGTGCATTGAATAGAGTGATGCAGAACAGCATGAGAGCAAATCTACAGACCAGGACAGAGAAATCATGGTCTCAGCAATCCGCGGCTTGGAACAGAACTGGTGTAGGAGACGCAACTTGCCGTGGTAACCCTGATATACCTTGATGAGAGGTCAGAACTGGCGACACATTCAGTATGCAGCGGAAGATATTCGAGATACGAAGGAGGTTATTGAGACAGCGCTTTTGCAAGGGGCTCCAGTGTGCGAGGCTCAGCTATGTTCAGCAGTCGCGCTCAGCGATGTGTCGTGCAATGGTTGAATATCATGTCCCGAGACGCAAACTTCTTGTCCAGGCTACGTGTTGTACCATCAAAGCATCTATGCAGAAAAGACATCGCCCTTTGTGCCGTTCGACAAGATGGCAGCTCCCTTCGCCATTTCTGTGTTTTTTGGACGGCAAGGAGGACGCAAGAGGTCACATGAGGTTGGTTGCGAGCATTGCTGCTATCAATGCCTAGGCAGAGGTGCAGGAGGACCGAGATCTGGTGCTGCAGGCAGTCAAGCAGTATCCTGCAGCACTTGAGTGGGGGCCATGGAGACCCTGTGGCGCTTCGTAGTTGCTTGGTGCCCGGTGTACTCTTGAACTATGCTTATGAGAACGGAGCACAGGTTCATTCCGGCCCACTTTTTGAGCGACTACGACGTTGTCCTTTCAGCTGTTCAAGAAGATGGCAGTGCCTGAGCTGGAGAGACGTAAGAGGCGAAAATCTCTGCCGGAAGTCCTGAGGTGTGTGTGTGTGTGACTTCAGACAGAGAGGTTGCATCCAGCCGACTCCCACAGAAGCGACGGCAAACAGACAGAGACCATCACAGCAACTGTTTGCTATGGTAACTCTATGTTGAACACATCCCAAATTCCATTGTCCCGCGGACCATGCCGGACGGCGACTTCTCAACTCCAAGCTCCACGATTGCAAGGCATGCAGTGCGAGTTGGGCACGTGGCCGAGACCAGCTGAAAGTGACAAGAACAGGCGACAACAGGTGGTATTTGTGTTGAGGGTAGGGCCTAGGAGCCGTGTGTAGTGGACTGACAGTTGTTGTGAAGCACAAGTATCGTGTGTGAGAACATGGTTGGGGAAGCCTTCGCCCCTTGCGCGCGGCTAGTTGCCCTTGGAGCTCTCGGCGACCTCTTCTACTCTGGGTTCGTGGCCGCCGCCACTATGTCGGGGGCGGCGCGGCTGCCGATGCGGACCACCCCGCACACAGTCGATCCGTCGGCCTCTGGCACCGCGCCGGTCCCGATCTGGTCGGGCCGATCTCCGACCGCGCCGGAAAGGTGGAGGACATGTCGGAGCGACGCCGTCGCCTTGCAAACTCATCAATCATGCCAACCTCGACCCGAGGTGGATTCGCTGGATGACGCTGTGCCATGCTGTGCCCCCATGGCGGCGACACGGCCCACAGTGGCGGAGCTGGCGCCCGACTATGGCGGGTGACGCATATTACTGCTCCGCCCTGCGCCATCGAGATGCTTGACTCCGGTATTGTTGATGGACATTGATGGACGCAAAGGAAAAGCAGTGGGCAAAAACAGATACAGATAAACGAAAAGAGATCAAGGAACACACGTTGACCTGAGTGGCAGCCTGTCTACAGCCTGAGCTTTGGCTTGACTTTGAGGCAATCCACTTGAAGCCTTGAGGCAATTCAACACGATTGAAGCACATGCCGCAGCAAGGTCTGTGGATTGCTGTGGCACATAGGAACTTGACTCTAAATCTGCTGCCTGGCCTCGTGCACATGCGAGAGTTCCAGGTCTTTCTTCCATTTGGCCAAATTCTTTGCACCAAACTTGCAACAACTGGCCACTGACACGTGCAAGGTAGCAGTGCCAATGTTAGACAGCGGCCGACAAGTGCCCAACTCCTAACCCCAGTGCCCTCAGAGGCCTCTTGCACATGTGCTGCATCCATCCTGCTGCATACGGGTACCCGTCTTTGCACCAAAGTGACGCTCCTTGGTTCGCTATAGAGAGACTCCGAATTTTTTCTAAGGTGGTAAAGGACATTTAAACACACTCGAGGCTCCCCCCTCTTGCCATCCCTTGCAACTGCTTCTTCTCCGACCTTCAAGGCTGAGAAAGTTTTGAACTTTCACTGAGTTTCGGAACAGGTGGTAACTTTCCACGGCTTGCTAAGCGAGTTTTCTGCTCAATGCCCTTCCCAAGGGTGGCTCTAAATGCACACACAACAGAACCTAAATTCACCTGAAACATACAAATTCTGTTTGGGACAATTCGTCGTGAAGAGCTCAGTCTGCTTTCAGGGACCCTTGCCCAGCGCTTGATTGGCTCCGCGATTTCCTTTACGAAAGTGAAGGGCGCATGTTCAATCCGTTATTTGTAAAAGCTTGCGCGTGGAACAGCCGAACAGCCGGGCTGGCCCAACGTGGGGTGCACCACAGCAAGGGGGCTCGGTCCCAGGGTCCTAGGACAGGTCTCAGGGAGGCATGGGGAGGTCCCAAAGGCGGGTCAGGACGCACCAGATCCTGGTCTGCTTGTTCCAGGTGCCTCTCGGCCGGAAGCCGAGGCGAATTTGCTAGGCCGTGCCTGTCAGCAAGATTCCACGTAGACACCCTACATCCAAGGCATGCTGGAGAATCTTGCGCTCAAAGTAAGCGTATTTTCATGTATTTTCAAGTTTCTGTGTCAATCCGTTCCATGATGGGGTGTCGGCATGCTACCCTGATGCTCTGAGATACTCTGTGAGGTATGCTGATGCTGGGCTTCGGCGAGAGCCGTCCATTGTCATGACCGCTGTCTCACAAGAGGGCATGGCCTTGGAATTCGTGAGCGCCGACCTTCAGGCGCGAGATGGTACGGGCTAAGGTAAGGCATTCGGGTCAAGTTGAATCAAATCCCATGTTGGCTTGTCCAAGGTTGAGGTTTCGCCAGGATAAACTGCTAGCTCAAAGCTTTGAAGAGTCTCAGCGGGTTCGATGAGATGATGCCAATGCAGCACTAATGCAAGTCTAATGCACGACTAATGCACGACTTGCTATAGGCAAGATGATGGCTTGTGCAGGCTGATCGCCTCACCGTTCTCGCTGCCATTGCGTCTGATGGATCCGCGCTGCAATTTGCATCGACTGACCTGAGGCTCGAAACGGCTCCGAACTTGCTCGAGTTTTGATTCAAGGGTTGATATGCCTGGACTGCCAGGGACGATGAGGTTATCGTTCGGAAGGCGGTATTGCAGGAGCAGTCAGATCAGTCTCCCAGTTGTGTGCATGACTGGACTGTCAGACTTGACAGGATGGCCTTGCGCTGGAGTTTGCCTCGCCTCGCCTGCAAGCTGACAAGGCCATAATCTTGGACGCCGTGAGCCAGGATGCGAGTCTTGACTGCAAATTCGCACCAATCGCATGTTGTACACATTTGTACATCAATCGCATTTTGTACACCAAGCTGCGGTAGCAACCATAGAGCTGCCTGCATCTATCTTGCCTTATGGACTGCCGCAGATCCGTGAGGCGTGCTTTGCAGTATGCTTCTGCTGATCTTCGAAGTGATCATGACGTGACGCTTGGCTTTAGGAGAAGGTCAGGAGCGGAATGAGCGGAGGGTGGAGGTTAATGAGTTTGAGAGCATAAAAAGGATGAGCAAATGGCAAGTGAAGGGAAGGCAAGACGCGCCGAGAGGGGCGGCGAATGCGAGACAAGATGCATTGTTATGCATCGTGGTGTGCAAAAGACCATGAAATTCATTTTGTTCGTGGGCTTCAAGGGGGCCGAAGCGACACTGAGGATACGAGCCGCCGTGAGCCGTGCTGCACGCGGGTTTGGTCGTGAAAGTGACCGTGCTGAAGACCGAGTGGCAATGCTGGATGCTGTCATCAGTGCCTGAGCTGCATACCCTTCTCTCCAATTGGAATCCATGACGATCCATGACGATCCATGTCTCTGTAACAGCTCCACGGAGCAAGAGCCAAGGCTGGATGCCCCAGGACCTTGTCTTAACATGTGTTGCAGCATCATCGCATTGTCCACTCACAGTAGAAGTACAGTACCTGCAAAGCTGATGCCCTTTACTGCCTGAGGATGAAGAGAGCTTGAGACTCATCACAGAGATAGGGCTTGAAACTCATCACAGAGAAAGGCTGCATGTCGGCACTACTGTGCACTACCGTTTTGGAGACCGGCAACTAAGCACTCTGAGTGGCAATGTCATCGACCAAGGCCGACTGCCGTGGATCCGTGATCCTTCAGCCGTCCATCCTCACTTGTGAGAGCAAATCGTGTTCACATGACGGGCTCCGTCCAGGAATGTCCAGGATGATTGCAGTTTTCCAATCATCTTCGTCAAGTTCGTCAGCAACCTCCGAGAAGCGAGGCAGCTAAGTGCAACAAATGGTGGAAGGAAGAGGTGCGGCCATGGCAGAGCCATGAGCCGAAAAGCATGTCGCAGCTTCTCCTAGCCTGGCAGATGCGCAGGCTTCGAGAGATGCTGTCACACGCTGTCACGCAGCTGTCGGAGTTGAGTGCAACAACGACCACTGGCCGACAAGGAAACCTCAGCGTGCCTCGCCGCAGCGCACCAGCAACAAAACAGTGAGGTGAAGCTTCTTGAGCAACCCCGCCGGGATGTGCCTCATTCTGCCACCGTTGCTCAATCTTGAATTGTTGTGGAACCCACCCAAAAGCAGCCAGAGCGACTTGCTGATTCACCCGACGATAGCAGATGCAGTAGACCTACGCACGTGCGGATCACACACACACATACACGCACCCACACTTGTGCACACCAGACACACTCACGCTCGCACATTGCTTCCACTTCTTGAGATGGCATGGCGGCAGTGCCGCATGAATGAAGCTGGGTCCTGGAAGCAGCGGTCAGGCGTGACCGTTCTGCTGACTGGGGAAGCTCCCCTGTGTGTGTCTGTATGTGTGTGTAGAGCATCGTAAAGCCATGGCAGCGATGGCAACAGGTTTTCACCTGCACCATTCCCGGTAGCGCTCTGCATGAGTCCAAGATGTCACACCAACACCACAGCAGAGAGAAGACTTGATTCAAGCATTATCATTTATGCAAAAAGAGTTGATTATTTGCAGCATGTGCTGCCTAACTTGTTTGACGCATGCTGCTTTTTGTACAACTGGCAGCTTGTTATGTTGCTGGTTGGGTGGGTTCTGGCAAGATAGAAGATCTTGTCTTAAGGGTTGAGAGTTGACATCGTGGAACAGCTGGCGGCCCGCCAACTTTCAATGCTTTGCTCGCAAAGCACTTGCTCCTAGAAGCGCCTAATGGTGTCAGCCTAAGGCTCTCGGGGACTGGTAGAGGCAACATGACAACAGATGAGGCATGTCGGAGTGCAAAATACGACGGGGCGAGCACACCTGGGGGGGGGGAACACGCACACTATGCGAAGAGCAAACGCGCACCTTTGCGGTTACTCTCTGCTCATCTCTGCTCATCTCTGCTCATTGTTCAAGGGCTCTCCACAGCGGGGCCTCATGTTTTTGCTCTCGCCTCGCGAAGGTGCAAAAGTCCTTTAAGCTTCACTTGGCACTCAAAGACCATTTCAGAATAATTCCGAAACGGTACCTGCAAACTGCCGTATCCGTCAGCAGGCTTTCCTTAAGCGGATACCCAGGAGGGGCCAGACCAGGCCAGGTTGCTTATGCTCTCGCTTCTGATCTCACTTGAGGATCTCATCCACTCTGCGCCTTTGGTGCAAAATCGCTGCGAGGACGGAAGCTTATGTCACGCCGGAAGCTTTTGTCGGCCATGAAGAGGCCCGCACTTTCGAGTATCAGGCGAGCTCTGCACGTCACGATGATGTACCAAATGGGAAACCATGAATAAAAAAAAGTAACGTACAAAAAAGAAGAAGCAGAAGAAGAAGAAGAAGAAGAAGAACATGAACAATAGTAGTAATAATATTAGGAAGAAAAACAATATTAAGGAGTAGTTGAGCTTGCTTTTGCCCTCGTCGCTCTCGACACGAAAGGGAGGACCAGTCGAAACCGATCCTTACCTGAAGAGACCCTGCGTTCGCGGGAGCCTCTTAGGGACCTCAAATCCTCAGCGAGCACGCAGCACTCCTAAAGAGAACTATGCACGTCCCACCATCATGACACGCGGACCGCACTTTGCATGCCTTTTTCGCCGCGTGCACGCTCGAGCCAACCTGTGGGGATGCCAACCAAACCTACGGGTCCAAGGGTTCGCAGGGACCCCTACCGCCGGGGGACGCAGGTTGGCCCGGCACCTCCGCAAAAGATGCTCATGGAAGCCACTCTCGCGCCTACATAAGCGGCAAACTCCTGTTTGCCCCGGGCCGTCCGCCCTAAACAGATGCTCAGGCGAAACTGTCGAGGCGAAAAAGGCCGCCCTGTAACCGGGCCCCAAACCCAACGCCTTACGAGTGCGTGGGATATCAAGGCCCTAAACAGGGCCTTGGGTACTTGCCCTCTGCCAGATCTGTAGATCTGCTACATCTGCAGCATCTGCTACATCGCTCCCTGTGAGTATTTCTTAGCGCTGCGCCGAACCTTGCGTTGAGCCCTTCGTAGAGTCGTAGAGCTCTTAATCGAGCCTTTCGTAGAGCCCTTCGTGAGATTGCCATTTTAAATGGCTTGAGGCCGCAGCCCCAACAAAGGAAGCGAAGCAAAGAGTTGGTGAAGTGGCACAAGTTCGGCAAGGACGTCGTAAGCGTCGTGCCTCACATTTTCATATATTTTCGATTGTCACTGTTGCAAGAGACGACTTTGTTATGTCGGAGGAGGTGAGCCTCTCAGCCCGCGGCTGCTTTTGAGGAGTGCAGCAGCAGCGCATGCTCCACTCATGCTCCACTGTGTGCTTCTGTCTGCATGTTTTTGTTGAACGGGTGCTGGTCAAATTCGCCAGATCCCTGCTAGGCTGAGCAGTCACTCACGTGAGGTGTGCAGACCTCAGCCGTGTAGAAACACAGCTGGGTTTGGAATTTGTGTGTCACCGTGCAAAGCATGTATAGTCCGCTGGTGTGCTGGTGAAAGACGATTTTTACGATTTTTGATATGCACACCGTCAATGGCCGGAACCTCAGGGTGGCGTGTCCTGGTATCCAGGTTACAAAGCTGTGGACTTCTGACGGAGTGTCAGAGGCAGGTGGCCAGTTGCGTTGATCGATTTTTGCCTCACTCCGAAGTTTCAACGTTGGAATCCATCACCGGGGTATGTCTTGTGAAAGTCCGGAGCTTTAGCTTTGCGTTCGGCCACAACTGTGCACAGGGAGGCCTCGACTTCAGCAGAACGCCGTGGATTCCTGACTTAGTTTCAGGCAGCCCCCGTGTTTCCTCTAGTTTGACAGTGCCCTTCGAACTCAGGATCTCCGCGTGTTGCGACAAGTATCGCAAGCGTCAAATGCGCCAAGCGTCCTCGGTTTCTGCTTGATGCGGAGAGGCGCACCTTGAGCCTGCAAGACCTGCCTGGCCTGCACATCTCCTCTGATGTAGCAGGCCTTCTTCTTCTGGTTGGGGGGAGACGTGCAAGGTGTATGCTGACTCCTGAGACAGTACTTGGGAACCTTTACGCGCTGAGAGGGTCTTCCGGCCCAGGACCATGGCCAAGGTGGTCAAGGTGGCCACGGGGATGGCCATGGCGACGGCCATGATGGCCGGAATAGCCGCGACGATGGCACCTGCGGGGCTACTGGAATCTCTTCTACAGGGCTGGAAGCACAGCCCAGCCAAGGAAGATTTGCCTCCAGGGTGCGATTTTATGATGTTAGTCTCCGTCGCCTATTGTTGTCCTCTCAGGTCTGTGCCGCGAAAACGGCTTCTCCTCTGACATCGCACAACCTGCTGCCTGATCATGGCAAAAGAGTCGTCAAGAAGCAGATGTCGACACAGTCATCATGTTAGTCGACAATCAAAACACAATCAAGTCTCAGAAGGTGTGTCAGTGTTTCTTCTACAGACTCCAGGCCCCATCTGTTCATGTAGAAGCGCTATTTACTCGGAGCCCGCACCGGCCGCGCCGGCTCGATTCAGGCAATCGTATATGTGTTGCACAGCATGCTTTATTGTCGGCTTTCAGGGAAGTTCAGAGTACGGGGCAGCTCATCTTTGGACTGCAAGTATATAGGAATTTGTTGGAACGTGATGAAAGGCAAGATTGGCTTTGCGATTCCATCTCGAACGTTCAACTTTTCGCAACCATCCAGGAGCAAACTTGAGAAGATGCAGACTGCCTGAGGGCCATGTTGACATATGCCGCAGTGCCGTATCAGCACTCGCAGCAGACAGCGGCGACGGCTTGTCGACCACCACGGCCATTCGCGAGGCGCTTCTTCGTTTCCGCCACACTGTCATGTCAAAACATAGTCCAACCGCAGGATAATATCATATTCTATGCTACCATAGTGAGTCGCATCCAATCTTCCCATATATGTACACAGGTTCGCGTGTGAATATGTGTACGAGTTGTGTATATTTATGTTTCTGTCTTTGTATGTATGTGGGTATGAGCATGTGGATATGAAACATGTGCATGCGTGTGTATATATGTACATATATATATATACACGTTTCTGCATATACATATGTAAACGATGGATGCATGAATAAATGCATATATATATATATATGCTACCCCCATGTACCCGCGCTTGGTGCTTGAAATTCCAAAAAATTCGGAAATCTGGGCTAGGACTTCGGGAATAGGATCATTTTTAGGATGTAGGGGCTCTCCTCTATAGGCATTAGGAAATAAGGTTTAGGGCATAAGATTCGGGGATCCGGCTCTTTAGGGTTTAGCAAAGAGGAAGGACTTGGGGAATAATAAGATTGGTTTGTAAAATGCAAGGGCTTTCCTCTTTAGGATGTAAGGATGCCCATCCTTATGGCGTAGGGAATAACATGAAGGGAATAAACCTAGGGAACAAGATGTAGGGACCCTGATCTTTAGGACTTAGTGATAAGGATTTGGGTAATAGGATCCTGAAATTCTAAGGAGGAGGGCCCCTAAATCTTAAAATGGAGAGCCCCTGAATCCTGAAAACAAATCCTATTCCCTAAATCCTTTTCGCGAGCCCGTAAAGGGTGGGACCCAAATCTTATTCCCTTAATGTCATTCCCGAAGTCTCATTCCCTACAGAGGGGCGTCCTTAAATCGTAAAGAGGAGCCTTTTCCTAAGAACCTATTCCTGAAGAGTGGGATCCCTAAATCCTACTCCCTCAATCTTCTTTCCTTCAGGTCATTCATATCGCAATTAG